CACACACACACACACACACACACACACACACACACACACACACACACACACAGGCAGGGTCTTTCTAGCTGTTTGGCTCCCTGGTGTGCCAGTCTGTGCTGTAATCTGAGGCTTCGGCTCAGTGTTGTCCAGCACCCCTTTTAATCCACATCTACACACCACTGTCTCAGTGCCATAATAAGGATATTATGCAGATACGTACAAATATTGTGAATGTGTTGTGGCAGCATTATGTTAGATCAGAACAAAACGGCCGAGTGGATGATGGTCATTTATCTGATGATGAAACGATGATGTCAGCATCTTGTCCTTTCTCGGTTGACACGCCTCAGACGGCCACTCAGCACTGGCCTTGCCCTGCTGACTTTCTCTATCGTCTATCAGGGGTTGTTGTCGTGAGTTTGTGTGTGTCTGTGTTTTAAGCTAGAAAGATATAAATCACTCCACAGCAGTGGCCAAGACCTTTTTGGCAGTGTGTTTTATTCTGCAGTTTGTAAAACGCTGCGTCTGCATTAACAGGATAATTCAAGGAAATTGTATTTCATAATTGAAAGCAGATCCTGGATCAGTTTATGCGATAGATCACAGTTTTCCTTTTGTCTCGCGGAAGCCTTAAATCAACACGGCTAAGTTATTAATTTTGAGAAGTCGTAGCTGTTTTAGCCATCCAGGAAATAAACAGAAGTGCCCCGACTGTACACCTATCCATCCATCTCCCCTTCTTGACATTTTCATTCACTTGCCTCTTCACTAGTTCTCTCAGAAGCTCTTCATCCATCAATTGCTCCCTCCACGTCTCCTCGTTCACTCACTTCACATCTTCCTTCGGCCTCTCCTTACACTCTCTCCGCTCTCACAGCTCTCCATCATTCGCTCTCCCTCCTCCTCCTGTCTCTGAGAAAGTCATCAGGAAATACGCCGGCACGTTTGCGCCGCTTAAACAAATGCCTTTTGTGCTTGGCAGCAGCGATGCTTCGGTTTGTGTGCGTTAATTTGGGAGAATTATTGAGTTAGTGTTTTATGGGCAAGAGGCATTAAAGCAGGACAAAAAAATAATGGAAGCCACATGGATAGTTTGTTCTTGCAAAACCACCATGCATGAAATAATTAAACATATATAGTGGAGCAAAAACACACCAAACAGCACACGCAGACATGTGACTAGATGCATTTACATCCTCTATCTTTTTGCATATTAACTAATCAGACACTTCTTGTGCACACATACACACACAGGTATGCGCACACACTGTGGCTTTAAACATCTGGGAGCCTGCCTGCAAGGGCGGTGCTGCTGTCACACAGCATCGTGATGATTTGTGTGATCTGTAATGTATTTGATAATGTCATTAAAGGCCTGTCGTGAACCAAATGGGGCATATGGAATACATGTTAACTTGGAGAAACTTTTCAGGCGCAAGCATGGAGTAATATCCAGACTTAATTTGTTCCTATTTGTACTTGCAGACACTACCAGAGGAAAAGGGGAATGACAGACAGATGGGAAAATGTATTTGTTATTCCTATTGTGAAGCAAAGGTTTAATCGAGAGGTCGTTGAATTTGCATTAGCCACAAAGAGATTTGTACCTGTAGCTTTCTGTGTGGCGCGTTGTGCACACGACAAGTAAGGCAGCAGTTTTCTGCAGCACGAGGCCTCGGCGTGAGAAATTATGTCGTCTCAGTTGCAGTTTTTATCTTTAGGAGCTTGAGAACTTCTCTATATAGCTAGATTTGAGCTTGACGTGGGACAAGTGTCATTACGTAGCCCCACAGAATTGCTGCAGGCAGACCTGTCTGTGGCCATTACAGAACTGGACCTCGGCCAAGACCAAAACCTCCTATTCCCACTTTAATCTGTGGGAGGGAGGATGGATGGAGAGAGAAGGATGGAGGATGGAGACGTGGGTGGAATGAGCAGGAGAGAGAGGGATCGTGATGGGAGGAAAGTGTAGAAAAGTTGAAAAAAAAATCAGGAAAAAAGTAATGGAAAAAAGCAAAAGCTTAGGCTGATAGAGAGAGGAGAGACCGAGCAGGAGGAGGAAGAGAGGTGGGAGCAATGCAGGTTCATAGGGGAACAAGTGAGTGAAGGAAAGAGGCAGGCGGGGGGAAAGAAGTGTTCATAGGGGAATCATGGAGCAAAAGAAACAGGGATAGATGGATGAAGCAGGAGAGGGGGAATAATGAGAATAGCAGACAGGGGTGTTGACCACAAATCCCTCTGGATAGTTCAGAGGTCTCAGCAACACAGCCTGGAAAGATGTCAGGAGAGAGGAGGAAAATAAAGCGACAGAGTAGAGGGAGGTGAGGGAAAAGCAGAAGGGAGGGCCGGGTCAGCGCAGAGCAGGAGAAAAGAGTTTGTGACAAATGAAGAAAGAAAAGCTCGGAGAAAAAGCGAGAAAAGGGACAACAGGGGATATTACGAAGGTGCCGTGTGTCGTTTGGTCTGTGAGATTTGTGCATTGTTCTGCCACACACACACAGACACACACAGACACACACACGCGCTTGGATTCAGCTGTCAAAGACAGGTTACCTCCCCGAAGTCTCCGTGTGCGCCAGCATGTGCCTGTGTTTGGCCTTCTTTGATGGAACGAGAGGAGATGGGGGGTGTTTTATTATTTTATAACTCAACGCATGCACATGCACACGACGCACACTCGGCACAGACATTTGAATAATTCAGCGCGTCTGTGCCGGCCCTCTCTGGCTGACTGACTGTGGCCTTGCGTGTTCTTTACTTTCCCGTGAGGTGAGCGCACTCGTTTGTCAGTCGCCTTTCCTGTAGTTACTCGCTAGATCTGATTCGCTGCCTTTTGCCTGCAAACCAGAATCTGCTACCCAGAACTCTATTGTTATTCAGCGGAGCAGGTGTGTGTAAATGAAGGAAAAATGGTATTCACTTCGTGTCGGCCACCTTTGAGCTTCACTGAGAAATAAAAGTACTATTTGAAGTTTCTCTTTATGTTATTCTGTTTGCTTTTGTAGGTGTGTGTGTGTGTGTGTGTGTGTGTGTGTGTGTGTGTGTGTGTGTGTGTGTGTGTGTGTGTGTGTGTTGGAGACAGACAAAGGGGGGAGGAGCATCTGTTCACCCTACTCTTTGCCAGTATCAGCTTCCCTTGTCTTCTTACCTTGGTGGAAACATCAGCCCATTTACAAATGCAGACAGACTCTCTCACACACACAAACACAGGCTTAATAAGCTGAGCTGGGCTGCAGGTGTAGTCCATTAGCTGATTGTTATTGAAGCCTTTTAGACTGAGACTGTTAACAGTGTATTTAGTTTGGTTTAAGACCTCAGGGACGCTGCGTATCCCCTTACACCTCTCTGTGGAGTCTCGCTGCGGAGCCACGACCTGGGAGCCGTTACGGGAATGCGATATTTTTGTTTGCATGCGTGCGCAAACTCACGTGTGTGTGTCATCTTTGAGATGTTTCATTCTGAAGTGTCCCTGCTCTTAAATTCACTTTATTATGAGACTGATGTGCGGGCAGGCACCCGTCCACACAATCAAAAGTTCACATACTTTGACTTTTAACAAACGTGGCAGCATAAAATATGGCCTACGTGTAGAAAAACATATTAAATTTTTAACAAGCCGGTCAGGTTATAAATATTTATGGGGCTATTTCTTACCAGGGGAGGCGCCTGACAGCTAGAATGGCTGGCCTCTAAGGTCTCCCTGTGTCCGAGCAGGTTAAATCCAGGTGTTCTGGCTTTCTCCTGCATCACAGAGATATGCATGATTCTGAACTGATTCTGCAGTGTGCATGGTCTGTGGTCTATGTGTCTTAACCCTGTGAAGGACGGGCAGCTGTATCCCATATTTTTCCCAATATCAGCCAGGAGAGCCTCCAGCTGCCCCGTGACCCTGCAAGTGGTAAAGATATAAGTTCACAGTCCTGATGAAGACAGTGACAGCAGTAGCTCAGCTGCAGCACGCGCAGGTACAAGCTGCAGCACGCGCTGCAGCACGCGCTGCATCCCTGATGACCCTGAACGAAGCTGGTAACTGAAACAGTAACAGAACCAAGTTCGTGTCAAAGTTCTTGCTCACAGCTCCGCGGAGCCAAACACTGTTTGCAAACGTTAAGCTGCAAAAAAAGCTGCAGGTTAGACTTTCACGCAAACATACACGTGTGCAGAAGTATCCACACACACGTAAAAGTGTGTGTGTGTGTGTGGTTGTATATGTGTACACTGAAAATGTTTCAGTGGGCACCCAGGGAAATCAGAAAGCACCCGCCAGCCCCCAACTCCTCAGAG